AGACAGCTGATCAATGACTCATCATTGATGGTTCGATCTCTCTCTCTTCCTCTCTCTGAAATCAATATATATTTTTTAAAAAAAACAATTCTTTAGTTTCCAACTCAAATCTTAATGTTTATGTGCAAAACCATCTGAAAATGATTACAGAAATCATGACCTGCCCCAAAACCATTCAGCACGTCACCTGGGGGGTCCTCAGCAGGAAATTGAGGCATGATATTTGTGTTGTGTCTCATTTTTTGTTCTGCATTTTTATTTCTTTTAATATAGTTAGAAAACCCCGCTAATTAAAGATTCCAGTGCTCCACAGTCCATTTCATTAGAGCAGAATTTTCATGAGCTCTTACAGTGGTGTGTGCTTCTTCGAATAGTGCTTTGTTTCTGGGGTTATGCAGCCAGGAGTTCATCTCAGACTATAAAAGGCATAAGTCCTTCTAATCTACGATGAACAATTATAGCACACAGGAAATCATTGCAAAGCGCTGATATAATCTTTTCTGTTTTACTCCATCTGAAAATGCACACTGGCCCGTTAATGTTCCACAGATGATAAAAACAAACAGAGCAGGGAGGCAGATGCGGTCATGTGCTGGGTCTGCCCTAGAAAACAGGACGGCCGCTACTCCACCTACCGCAGCAGAAGAGGGGGGCACGATTCTATGGCAGGGCACGCAGGGGTCAAAAGCAAATTGCAAGGAGAGAAGATCTAGAAGGTCACATGGTTGCACTGGCTGAAGAGCTGCTCCAGCCCTAGCAAATGTTTTTACTTGGCTTGAAGTCTTAGAAAGAGTTGTTGCTGCATAATAGAATTACACATCCTTTGGGAGATATCTTTGTCTCACTTGGAGTGTGAAATTCTTGGCGATATCAACTGAAGCATCACATAGGTATGGAGGCAGAGGAACCCCAGAGTGTTTGAGAATTACAAAACAAACCACAAACAGAGTATTAGCCAGCTACACCCCGCAGCCCCCTGCCCAGGAACAGTTACATGGTTCTGGCCAAGAGATGCAGACCTGCAAAGAGTCCGCTGCTCAGTTGCAACAAAAACAACTATTAATCCATGCAATGGGGTGACTGAATCAAAACATAAAATGAAATAAAAAGGCATCTCAAGTGGCCAGGAAAAAAAAACGGGGGTATACGGAAGTAGGCAGGGCATGAAACAGGCTATAGCTGAGAGAAAAACAATATTTCATTGGTTGCTTAAAGAAAAAGGTTGCCATAAAAACCGGGGCGCTCAGGTTTGGCTCAGGAGGAAAGGGAAGTCCTAAATAAGAACAGTAATGATAAACACATGCAAAGCTCACTGTGATCCTTCCATTTTTACTTTCACTGCTGCATACGTTAACTTTTCTCATAGTGGCCATCTTTAACAACCAACCATGTAAATTTATTATTTCCACATGTTCTTCCCTTTTTCCCCCTAAATTCCAAACATTGGCCTCAAGAACTCTTAAAAACTGAATTGAATCAGAGAAGACATTGAGCAGAGAAGACATTGAGCATTTTGTGTGGACACCTTTGAGACTGAAGAATTTATATATTATCAATGGTGTAAATAATACATTTGGCCCTTAATACAAACATATTTCATAGCCTTGCATGAAATTCCTACTACATGTCTATATCAGTCATGTTTCATAGATCTAGATAAATTTTTTCATATGAAATTTTCATTGGAAGAAAGTTACTTATATTCACAAAAACACCCTGATAGAATTTTAAAGCTTTCCCATTGAGAGAGGGCTTGCCTTTATCATGTCCCTTGAGGGGAAGGAGAGCTTAAGAGGTTTCAAATAAACAAATCATCAACATCAATTACTAGTAGTTAATCAGAGCAAATATAGAATGAGATTAAAATTGCAGGAAGAATGGATTCTTCTGTGCCAGCTTCCATGTTGCATAATTATCATTTCTACAATTTTATGACATGAGTTCTTTGACAAGAACCTACCCAGTCATCTTCAAAGGCCGTCAAATTCCCATTGCCCATTTCAGGACACATGAAAAGGCACCAACGGATTTTTCTATTCCCTCACGTTTTCATGCATCATCTTTTAAATTTCAAGCCATTCAAGAATACTTTTTTTTTAATGAGAAAATACATGAATGGAGAATTCTTGCTCTCCTTCACTGAATCTCAGATTTGGTTGGGAATGATCTGCTAGGGCAGTGATTCTCAACCTGTTTCATCTCATGGCACAGTAACTAATTACTACCATTCTGCAGCACACCAAAATACAGGTTATACTTTTTGCCAACCTGACAAGAGAAGAGATATCATTTGGATTCATTCACAAGGGAGGGCTATTGCTGTACTAGCTGTCTTTTTATTTGACAATCTACAGGGAAAGAAATCAGTGTTCCTGACTAAATAGTCAGGTATGTTTTAAAAATTCTTGCAGCACACCAGCTGAAAACCACAGTGCTAGGGGTACGTTTTCTGTTTCTGGGCAAGAGCGAATCTAGTCAGTGTTTCAATTAAAGAGAGTATCTTGAATAATCATTGTTCAGAAAGAAACACAAGACAGAGTAGACACTGTTTATCAAGCAGGGTTTTAGAATATAAGAGGAGAGACAGACGTAGTCCATGGAGCAGACAGAAGGATACACACTTATGAATATTCACGGAGCAGATACACCAGAACCAATTACCCAGCTGTGGAGACAAGGTTAGCTGCCCACCAACTCTTCCTTGCTAACAAAACCTAATTTTGTTAAACAGTAGGACTGGGACAAGATTAAGGCAAGTGAAGTCCTCACCTTGAGTGTCAAATTTAAGAGGGGGCCAAAAAACTCACCTATCAAAATAACACTTTAATGCAATATTTTTAAAGATCTAAATTTATGCTCCCCCAAAATCCCTAAGAAACAAACTACCCACATTTTAAATAAAGACATTAGAGCTCCAATAGGGCTTGGCAGGAGACTGCACTGATCCAATCCTGATTTAAAATCCAGATAGTTTGTTCATTATAAATTTTGTCATGAATATAGATTTTTTAAATATTACATTAATATATTACTTATTTTTATCACTAAAATTTTTGGTACCTCTTAAACACTGCATTCCAAATTGGTTCCACACCTCACCCTTGTCCCTGGCCTACTGGACTCAGGGGCTAAATTAGGATTTTCTCCATTCCCCTTTGGCAGACACTTGCCTTCCCCTTGTACCTAGAGTCAGTCATGTGACACAGCTCTGGCCACTCGCACGTAAACAACTCTTCACATGAAAGCTCTGCCTTTGTTGTTGATTTCTGACATGAAACAGATGAGTAAAGAAGTTGGGTACCCTCCAACCGCCCACCGCTGGCTGCCTCCCAGTGCTGCCAGCAGCCATCCAACCATGAAATAAACACAGAAGGCAAGAGGATGACTGAGCACAATGACAGAGCTTGGGTCTTGCTGACACTTCCCAACCAGCCCTGAAGAGACTAATTCTTTACTTCTAGTTAGGTAACAATAAGTATCCTGATGTTTTAAACCACTATATGTTGGTTATCTGTTACTTACAGTCCAGATATTTCTAATTGATGTTGGAAGCCTAATAGCCAGTCAGCTTTCAGAGAGAGAGTTTCTGAATTTCACTGCACTGACGACTTAAAATATATGTTAATATTTCATCTCTGAATTGTTTCCTTCTAGGTAGCAAGAAAAAATGCTAAGTCTAAAGGGCAATATGATTCTAAACTCTATGTTACTTAACTATGGCAATGTATGAAAATGTCAAACCAGTCTTCATATAAACTATTAATTTTTCCCACTAAATAAACTGTGATACAAATGTTGTCAATGTCAACAATGTCAAGAGAATCTCAATTTCTATTTTGCTTTTATGAAACAGAATCTGATTGTGTTATTGTTTGATGATTAAGGGAGGAGGGAGTTATCTTGAAGAGATAAAGAATTGCCCAAATGTCCCTTGGGCTACCTGATTATCCAAGTTTAAAGAGCAATAGAATCATCACTGTGGTAAAGCCTTTCATATATAACCCAATATACCCATTTTTCACTTAAATTGAAACCAACCAGAAAGACAGTAAGATATTTTCTTTACATCAGAGAAGTAATTAATAGCAGACGTATAAAAAGTAATTCTAGGAAAAGTTTTCCTTTTCCTGGCCCAGTTATCTTAAAACATGAACCAGGATGCTTTCCAAAACACAGGAACGGCAACCTGTGCCAATACTTTTATACAGTGCTGGAAGCCAACAGTCCATACCTGAGCTTTCCAATGTGAGAGTCACCACCAATAGATGGCTATTTATATTTTCATTTTAATTAAGTAAAATTAAATAAATTAAAAATTCATTACTTTAGTTGCACTAGCAACATTTCAGTGCTCAATAGCTGCTCATGGCTCATGGCAACCACATTTGCCGGCACAGAATTTGAACATTTCCATCATCATAATGCTGCTTTATGCTAATGAGCCTCTTACTGCCCCATTTCTCTTTGCAGTAGTGAGAAGTAAAAGACCACCTACAGAAAATTAGTCCTGAAAGGAAAAAAGAGTTGTATGCATTATAACCAAAGGTACTGTGGCTAAACAAATGCCTCTCCCATTTCCTCTCCATGGTTCTGACAGTTAATTCCAAGAGGTACTATTACCTCTTTTTTAAAATTCATTTTTATTGAATTTATTGGGGTGACATTGGTTAATAAAATTATATAGGATTCGGACATACAATTCTGTAATACATCATCTGTATATTGTATGGTGTGCTCACCACCCTAAGTCTCCTTCCAAGTAACATACAAATCAGCAATGCTCAGATATGATGACATCGTCTCAAAGCACATATAAGTCAGAAATATTTTCCTCCAAAGATTACCCTTGGGCAGGGGCAGTTTTTAAAGAAGAAACTTTCTATACAAATTATCTCTCTAACATCAAGTTAACCTGGATTATTAGGGTTTTTATCTTTCAAAATAACTTGGGGGGGGGGGACTTGACTGATTAAACAGTTTATGTGGTGGGTCTTCATTAAAGACCTGAATATTTTGGATTTTAGGTAGCTTTTATGATATACACACCATTACACATTTTATTAAATGTTACATTACATATGATTCATCACTACTCTCATTGTAGAGTTCTCACATGTTTGGCCTTAGTGCCAAGGAAAGTAGCACTGTGTGTTGACAAACTCAGGCTACTTCACAAGCAATTTGATTACTGGATCCTACATCCTACATTCTCCACTCCTTTACAATTGGAGCCTATACAATTTTTGAAGTTAGGTTCACTGAGGGATAATATAGACACAATAACATCTACCGACTTAAATTCAACAACTTTTAACAAATGTATAAAGCTTGTCACCACCTCCTCAATCGTGATATAAAATATATGTATTAACTTATATGTTCTCTCACAAACCTTTGCAGTGATATTTTTTTTCCCTTACCCTGTATCCAGGCAACCATTGATAGGTATTCTGTTACTTTAGCTGTGTCTTCTATAGAATTTCACATAAAAGAATAATACAGCTCTTGAGGTCCAACCGGGTTTGCGGAAAGATGGCCAAACGCACCAAGAAGGTGGGAATCGTCGGTAAATGCGGGACACGTTATGGCACCTCCCTCCGGAAAATGGTGAAGAAAATTGGAATCAGCCAGCATGCCAAGTACACTTGCCCCTTCTGTGGCAAAACCAAGATGAAGAGACGAGCTGTGGGGATCTGGCACTGTGGCTCCTGCGTGAAAACAGTAGCTGGTGGTGCCTGGACCTGCAACGCCACTTCTGCTGTCACGGTGAAGTCTGCCATCAGAAGACTGAAGGAATTGAAAGGCCAGTGGAAGCTCCACACTTTGAAATATTGCTAGCCTATAATAAATGGGTTCATTTATATATTTAAAAAAGAATAATACATAATATGGAGTCTTTTGTATCTGGAATCTTTTACTTAGCATAATACTTTGAAGATTCATCCATTTTGTTGTTTATATAAATAGTTTGTTTCTTTATATTGTCCATATATTCCATTTTACATAATTAACTTGTCTACTCTCAGTGATGGACTTTTGAGTTTCCCATTTTTGGTTGGTATAAATGAAGCTGCTGTAAACCTTTGGGTATGAATCTTTCTGTAGACATTATTTAACATTTCATTACCCTTGAGCAAATACCTATGAGCAGGTTTGCTCATAGGTATTTGCCCATCTTAAATTATTAACAGCAAAGCATAAGAGGTCCAGATCCTCCACATTCTCACCATGATTAGTATTATCAGTCTTTTTTTATTTTAGTCACTCTGCTGCATGTATAGAGATATCTCATCATGGCTGTCATTAGTATTTTACAAACTGTATAAATCTCTGGTCCATGTCTTAAAATTTGAATTATTTATTTTCTTATTAACTTGTAAGAATTTATTTATATACGTGGACACAAGACCTTTAGTAAACATAGGTATTGTAAATATTTTCACATAGCTTCTGGCTTGCATTTCCATTTACTCAATGGTGTCTTTGAATAGCAAATGTTTTTAATTTTGCTGTGGTTCAATTTACCAGATTTACCTTTGTGTGCTTTTTGTGTCTTTGCCTAATCTAAGATCACAGACATTTTTTTTCCATAGGTTTTCTTCTAGAGGTTTTATAAATTTAGCTCTTTAGGTCTATGATCCATTTCAGCTCATTTTGGCACAGAGATGTCCAATTTTTCCAGTACACTTTGTTGAAATAACTATTATTTCTTTGTTGAATTATGACCAGTTGTTTAAAATTTATTGACAATATGTACGTGGGTCTAGTTCTGGTCTCTGCCTTCTATTACATTGATTTATATGTTTATCCTTGTGGAAACACCACATTATCTTGAATTCAGGCACTCAAAAGAGTAACCATCCTTTTCTATACTAGAAGAATAGAATTAGTACTTTTTTTCCTTAAATATTTGTTAAAATTCACTATTGGAGAGCTTTGGATTTGAAATTTCCTTTGTTGAAAATTTTTAAACCACAAATTTAACTCCTTGAATATATATAGAATTAGTTCAATGGTCTATCTCCTCTTAAGTAAACTTGGATAGATTGTATCTTCAAAAAATTTGTCCATTTCACCTAAGTTGTCAAATTTATTGATATAAAGTTGTTCATTGTTTTCTATTACTATTCATTTTACTTCTGTAAGTTCTATAGTGATGTTTCATTCATTCCGAATATTGACAAATATGTCTTCTCTCTAATTCCTTATCAGTATGGTTAGAAGTTTACTGATACTATTGGTTGTATTAAAGAACTATGTTTTAGTTTCACTGAACTTCATTAGTTTTTTTCCACTTAACTGGTTTTCCCTCTTATCTTCATTTTATTTATTTATTCTGTTTACCATAGATTTGATTTGCTTTTTTTTTTTTTCTATTTCCCTATGAAGCATCCCCAAATGACTATAATGGATTTTTCTCCATCCCTAATATAAGTGATTACTGCTATAAATTTCTCCTTAAGCTCTGCTTTGGGTGCATACCAAAAATTTAGATTAAGTTGTACTTTTGTCATTCAGTCGGAAATATTTTAGAATTTCCCCTTTGATTTGCTCTTCAGCCTATGAGTGATTTAGAAGTATATTACTTAAAGTCCAAAATGATTTTCCATATGTCATCTGGTTATTGATGCTTAGTTTGACTCTGATGTACTCATAAAACACACAGGCATAATTCTAATCCTTTTAAATGTATTGAGACTTGATTTATGCTGGTTTATGTTTGCAGTCCCTATTACTGTGCTATATCTTAGAAACTACTTCCAGTGAGCTGAGCCAATCATAGGACTCATTTATTTCCTTTCTCTAAGTAATTACAATCCTGCTATGCCCTCTACCTATGGTACATTATCTGAAAACTATAGTTTCTAATATTTTGTCTGGTTTTCTTGTTTAAAACAAGAGGACAAATCAAGACACCCCCCTTTTTTCCATCATGGTTAGATGGTAAAGTCCCCTGTGTAATTTTTCCATTTAAAATAAACAATCATCTGTTTATCAGATCTTGGTGAAACAAGAGACATATTTAATGGAAGCTCTCTGACAATCTGTATACAATTTCCAAAGTTAGTACTAGACGTTATAGTTTAAAACTCTTACGGAAAAAGAATTCACATTCATATATTCTTCTTTGGTTTGCATTTTTAGTCCCAAAACTATTGATTTGGGTTTCAGATTTATACCTGGATTCATGGACTTACAATCTAAGATTCTGTGTCCCCACAGTGAAACGGAGGGTTTATGATTCCATGATGGAGCTTTATTTTTATAGATACGATTTTTTTTAGTAGGGCTGATCCTTTAAAATTAAAAAATAAAAGCATTTGAATGGATTATGCTTTCATTTATTCTAGTCCATTTTTTTCAATTCAGACAATGTTTAAATCTGGCTTGAACTAGCTATGCAATGACTGAGATTTTCCCTTTAACCCTCTAAATGAGAAGATCTCAACAAACCTTTACATTATACAGTGATTACCACTAACACCCAGACAAAAATCATGAAGACCAAATATTCACATTTCTTGTTCACTTCATCACTGCTGGTTTTTCAAATTACTGTGCCTCACAGAGTATTAAACAACTACATTTAAGCTCAAAGTCCGCTATTTTTAATGTTGGATATAATGACCTCTGGGATTGTAGTTCTCTGTACTTTCACATACACACAAAAATACACATACTCTTAACTCTGATTTACCCTACTCAATAATACTATGAGGGTAGCAGTATCATTCCCATTTTTTAAGTGTTAATGGTGGCACAGAATTATTAAGCAACTTACCCAAGGTCAGACAATTAATAAGTCACAAGACACAACCCCAACACCTGGTTTCCTGACCGTGTTGCTCTCTGCATTCCTCAACAGCTGGCTGACACTGCCTCGGTTAAGGGAGCCAGACCAACTTCTGAGACGTCTCTAAAAGAGGTAGAAACCTCATACAACACTGTTTCTTAAAGATTACTAGGGCAATTCTTTCTTCGGCCACTATTGAAGGGATATTCATATTAAACATATGTGGCACGTGCCATGATAATCAGAAGTATCTGACAGATATTCTTCTGCCAAATGGACCCCAGTCTTGGCTTAGAAACTCTGGGGCCCTTCAGTGCCTTAGTATCCCTCTCCTGTTAGCAAATTAATATCAGCCTCCTGCCTTTTGGTGTTCAGAGCCAAGTCTCTAGATTTCAGCCCATTAGGCCACTGTAAAGGGAGGAAACATTTTCTTCACTGAGCTTCCCGGAAATCTGACTCTCCGTTCTCCATTTTAATTTGCTGTCTCATCTCTCCAAACTCCATGCACTGAATGGCTCCAAGGCTCACTCAGTGGACCTCTTCTCTTTCCAATCTACACTCTTTCCTCTAGAAACTTCATCCAGGCTATGGCTTTAAATGATGTCTATATGTTAATAACTCCCAAATGCCTACCTCTAGCCAAAATTGCTTGCCAGGGAAGTTCAGTCTATCCTGGTACAGCAGCCAGGGTGACTCTTTTACACCATGTTAGATTGCATTGCTTCTTTACTCAAGATCTTCCAGTGGCTTCCCACCTCACTCAAGATAAAAATCAAAATTCTTAAAGGCCCTATGAGTCCTGGCCCTCTTTACCCTTTCTGACCTCATCTCCGTTACTCTCTCCTGAGGCTCACTCCATTCTGGCCATCCTGACCTCCTTGCTATTACTCAAACCTGCCAAGCATGGCCCTGCCTCAGGGCCTTTGCACTTGCTCTTCCCTCTGCTGTGAACACTTTCCTCAGTTATCCAAAGGTCTTGCCTCCTCACCTCCTTTAAGTCTCTACTCAATGGGTCCTTTGTATAAGTCACAATCCAGCCACGAGAACAGAAATCAACTTAGGTAGCTCAAACAGAGAAAATTCAACAGAGGGAATAGGTTGTAAAGGTATTGCAAGAACTCACAAAGCGTAAGAATAGAGGCTGGGGCCTGGGGAAGCCAAGAGGAAGAACGCATGGCGCACAGAGACGAGCAGCTGCTCACCAGCTGGACTGCAGCCCATGCCTGTCCTGTGCTGAGCTCTTCTCCAGCAGCTGGGACTCCGGCGGGAATTGCCAAAAAGCCCTGCTGGCTGCCCTGCGCTCCTCGGCCTGCTCAGCAACTGCTGGTTCATCCCATTCGCACATCCAAACAGGAATCCAGTTAGGACAGGAGCCTGAGGAATTTTTCTGACTCTGGCCAGTTGCACAGAGATTAAAAAGGGGCACATGTGGGGCTGAGAGGCAACAGGTAAACGCCTGGCACACCTGAAGACCCTCCCCCACTTAGCCCATTCCCTGCTTTGTCGTTTTCCTCAGCCCTTATCACTAGATGGCCTACCCTCTATCATATCATCCTATTATTGTCTGTCTCCCCTAATAAAATGTACACTCAGCGTCGGCCGAGACTTCTGCCCGTTGTGCTCATTGCGGCAACCCCAGTGACTGAAACCATTTCTGGCACATAATGGGCACTTAGTTAATAGCGAATGAATTACTAAGGAACTGGACCTCTGCTTTTATCTTCAAACAAACAGAAACCAAAATACTCTGGGGGCTGAAGCTAGGAAGACAGTGGCACAAAACTCAAAAATGCAAATGAGGATGGCAACTTTTAGGTGCCTTTGAGAGCTACGAGGAGCACCCGGTTAGCCATGCCTGGCGTCAGGATGTGGCCTCATCGACTTCAGCTAATAGGGTCTGTCACCTACCTCCCGCGTGCCCAGGGTGCTTTCCAGGTGGGAACAGTCAAATTGCTCTACTGCAACTTGTCACACCATGGATTGGAGGAATCTGTTCTGTTTGGAGGTTAGCACACAGCGGCGCTGAGCCCTTGATTAGGAAAGA